TTCCTTGCTAGAGCAGATATTCTTCAACTGTGAGATCTGTACTATAGTTAAGTATGAGAGAGGTTTCTCAAAATTTCAGTTGGCAATATTTTTAAAAATTTTTTAATTTTATCTATTTTTATTTTGTGTGTATGAGTGTATTGCCTGCATGTATGTGAGCGCACCCGTGTTGTGCAATGCTTCAGAGATCAGAAGAGGGCTTTGGATTCCCCTGGAACTGGAGTTAAGGAAGGTTCATAGCCACCATGTGGGTGCTGGGAATCGAACCCGGGTCCTCTGCAAGAGCAGTCAGTGCTCTTAACCGCTGAGCCATCTCTCTAGCCCCTCAGTTGGCAATATTTTTAAACTGTTTTTAACCTTTGAGGATTGAAATTTTTGTTGCCAATATAGCATAAGTCAAAGAATGGTTTAGATGTTCATTAATTAATGAACCTGTCCAATTAAAAAAAACCTTTCTAATCAAACTTATTGAAGAAAATTAAAAATCTATGAAACCATTAATGGGGGAGGGGTTTTAATTTCTGGTATGAAAGGAATTCCTTTAATCAAAGATATATATAGCATAGGACTTTCATGAAACGTATTTCTTAGAAATAGGGGTCCTTAATCTAGAAAAATGGGGCCTACTTCTAAGTTTTTTATTATTATTTTTGTTTGTTTGAGACAAGGTTTTATAGCTCAGAGTTGCTTGGAATTCTATATGTAGCCCAGACTGGCCTTGAACTCTTGATCCTGCCTCAGACTCCTAAGCATGAGTGTTAGAACTACAGGTGTGTGTCACCATGCCAGCGCTACCTATAAATTTAAATAGTAGACTGTCAAGTTAGTTGATGATCCCAGATTCCCTTGTCTAGCTTAGAGATTATTAAGATTTTTATCTGTTGTTTTTAATTTTGGGGTCTCAGTCATTATAAGTACTCCTGTCTCATCATGGGGGAATTTGTTTTTCTTTTTAAAAATATTATATTATTTTTATTTATGTGTACAAGTAAGTGCACCTGTGTTGTGCAATGCCTGTGGAGGTCAGAAGAGGGTTTTGGATCCCCTGGAACTGAAGTTATGGACAGTTATTAGCCATCATGTGTATGCTGGGAATCAAACTCAGGTCCTCCGCAAGAGGATGGTTATTAGTTGCCATGTGGGTTCTGGGAATCAAACCCAGGTCCTTTACAAGAGCAGCTAGTGCTCTTAACCGCTGACCCATCTCTCCAGTCCCAGAAATCTGTTTTTCAAAAAAAATTAAGGTAATGCCTGTGGTGCTTTGAATAAGTGTTCACCATAGCCTACAAGTACTTGACTATTTGTCCTGCATTCCTTGTACTGTTTGGGGAAGGTCATGGGAACCTTTAGGAGGTGTGATCATGCTGGAGGAAGCATGTCACTGGGGGTGGACTTTCAGAGTTCAAAGCTATATCACACTGCCAGTCCCATTGCCAGTTTTTGCTTCCTCTGCCGGTGGTAAATACTTAGCTTTCTGTCTACCACCTCTGGACTCATCCCTCTGGAACCCTAAGCCAAATAAACTTTTCCTTCTATAAGTTGCTTTGGTCATGGTATTTTATCACAGCAGCAGCAAAGTAACCATTACAATCTATAAAATGAAAATGATATGATTTTCAAAACATCTCAACAGTTAAGAATGATCTTATGATTGCTCTTGATGTAAAGGAGCTTCTAAGAAAGTCATATGGTAAAATAATAAGAAAACAGTTAATTAAAAATTCAATTATCTGAAAGAGAATTCTAAACAATATGGTGCATTAAAACAACAACAACAACAACACATTTAAACCTAAGAGCAAAGGGGTACATGACCATGGCTAAATGACAGTTTTTAAAGTTGAAGGGGAAAATTAATAATGGTCACCAAGACTGTTACAGAAGTAAAATTAAAAATAGAAGCTAGTATGAATGGTACTGATAAGAGGTCAACAAAGATACTTAATTCAGAAAGATTGTCCATAGTCATGAAGGATTAAAAAGTTTATCAAGTAGGCCAAGTGGGGGAACTCTTCAAATAAAAAGGGAGTCTAGATTGTTTAGAAGAGTTCTAAGTTCAGTTGTCTGCCTATCAAATCCTTTGTTCTGATTTTTGGTTCAGAAAACATGTTCACTATTTATATCCATAATTCCCAGTAAAATGTCTTTAACATGGACAAATTTCAGTATTTTTTCAAAATGGTATTTGGAAACTCATAGCTAAGCAAATAAAACACACACAATTAGTCATTCTCAAAAACTGAAACACATTTGTCAGCAGTTTTTAGCTATTCACTAGCATCAATTAGAAATTAGAATATGGTGTCTATGAGATGGCTCAGCAGCTAAAGGACCTTGCTCTAAGCCTTTGTGATCTGAGTTTGATCCCCAGGACCCACACGGTGGAAGCAGAGAACCTACTCTGGCAAGTTGTCTTCTGACGCACAATCCATGGCAGGAGCATGGTGCTTCGCCCACCAATAAATTACATAGATAGTAAATAAATGTAATTTAAAAAATTTAAAATTAGGGGCTGGAGAGATGGCTCAGTGGTTAAGAACACTGGTTGTTCT